CCGAATTAGGGGGCTTTCGAATCCCAGGCTCAAAATCTCTGCCGGAACCAAGAGCAGGGCCCAAGTGCCGCATGCCATTAGCTTCAGCACCTGACGCTTGTACAGGGCCTTTAGGGTTTAGGGTGTCAGGGTTTAGGGCTTAGGGTTTAGGGGTTTAGGGTTTGGTTTAGGGTTTAGGGTTTAGGGTTTCGGGTTTAGGGTGAAGGTTTAGGGTTTAGGGTTCAGGGTGTAGGGTTAGAGTTTAGGAGGGTGTAGGGTTAGAGTTTAGGGTTTAGGGTTTAGAGGCATGGGATGTGTGGATGGTGTCAGGGTTTATAGGGTTTAGGGCTAGAATGGAGTAAGGAAGATACTATAGGCCTTAAATGAGGCACCCTAGTTACCCTAACTTAGCACTTCAAGAAGAACCTCCCCGAAGCAAAAACAAACGAACCACGCCTGCGGGGGGGGGGGGGGGGGTCTGGGTAGACTGAGGCTTTGGCGACTTACTCGAGGCCAGGCCGAATGGGTGTCCAGAAAGCTCTGAATGATAGGATTTATAAGGTCTACAAGATTCATCGGGTTTATGGGGTTTGTAGGGCGTACAGGGTTTAGGTTGTTTTGGGTTTAGGGCTTAGGGCTTAGGGGGCTTCCTATGCAACGCCCCGCCTGGTATGCCGCGATGCCCCAGACTGCTCGAGTCCTGGGCTTTGAACAAGGAAACCCCTTTGGGCCGATCTCCTAAAACCCTAAAGTCTAGTTAAACCCCTATTAAACTCTTGATTAACCCGAAGCAAACTATAAACCCCCCCAAAAAAAGAAGCTCTAAATCCCATCAACCCTATGAACCCTTAAAAGCGTGTGCCCTATGTAAACCCTATACTTTGAGATGTTCCCCCTTTTGCTAACAGTCCTTAATAGGGATTCTAGTACCCCCTATGATAATCCCTACTGCTAATATAAGGGGGAACATCCCAACCCTACACCCGAAACCCTAAATCCTGAACCCTAAACCCTGAAACCCTAAAACCCCGTAAAAAGCCCCACCCTATGTAAACCCTACACCCGAAACCCTAAACCCTGAACCCTAAACCCTAAACCCTCTAAATCCTAAACCCTAAACCCTGTACAAAGGCTTTCTGAAACGCGGTGCAGGGTCAGGTGAGGCCGCTGGCCGGGCATGGCAGCTAGAAGAAGCGGCCCGATTGTGGCACCTCAAAGGATTTGGGTCTAGGGTTTGGGGAAGTAGGGGTTTAGGGTTTAGGGTTTTTGGGGTTAGGGAAGTAGGGGTTCAGGGTGGAGGGCTTTCGGGTTTTCGGATTTTTAGGGGGTTTGGATGATGAACGTAGGGATTTTGGGGTTTAGGGCCTCAGGAGTTGGGTTTAGGGGGGGGGGGGGGGGGTTAGAGGTTGGATCATTGTTGGGGTTTCAGGACTGGAGGGCCTAAGGGCTTGAGAGTTCGGGCTTTAGCCGTCGGGACTACCCCAAACCCTAAACTCTCTCATGGTTTCGAACAAACAGGGCTGTTTTGGGACCACCATCGCTGTACAGACTCTTTGACCACCCTAACGTTCAAGGGGCCCTACGTCTAGCACATATGAAAATGATAAGGTCCTGTTTAAGGGCCGTATTTACATACCTGTTTATCTATTTCTGTCGAGGGGTGGCCACCTGACCCACTCTCAGGGCAAAACGCTTATGAGCCAGCTGCATTTCGTCGTGAAAAAACCATGACACCTCAAGATTCTCCACTTCCTTTAGAACGGCCAGTATCTTGGTTCGATAGCTCTCCGTAGCCTACATCGGAGTACTAAAGTCTGTGAAGAATGACTCATTTAGGATATGTGGAGCCTCAGGGCTACGGAAAAAAATCTTGAAACCCTTTCGGTTGCTTGTTCAAGCCACCTATGGAGGTCCCGATCGTCAGGATGATGCCGATCTGCGCATCGATCTGAGAAGAGGCCACCATCTGCCCCGCAATCAAGATGGCCCGCGCCGGCGACTGCATCAGCACAGCACCGACCTGAACAAAGCATCAGCCCTAAACCCTTCTGCACTGACTCTCTAAACCCTCTAAACCCTCTAAACTTTCTAAAACCTCTAAACCCCAAAAACCCTGTGAAGCCCCAAACCCTAAACCCAAGCTCAGGGGGTCCATGTACCCTGAGACTTCGACCCTGAAAGAGGAATCACGTGGTAGCGACATTGGGGGCTTCTTGTCGAGTGGGGATCTTGTATGCGATGCTGGGCACAGCTCCGATGAGGAAGGCAACCACGTTCCCTTCCCGGTATGTCCGCAGCATCTCCACTATCAGCCTCCAAGAGAGGCTGGCGAAGGTCCACTCTGTAAACCCTGAAAACAAAACACTGCAAGCCCTGCAAAATTATAATTCCCATGTATAAACCCTATCTAACCCTATCATTCCTATACACCCTAAGCGCAGCGCCGCAACTGTGCCTACACGTCGAAGCTCTAATCGCCTGCGGGGGAGGGAGGGGCTGCGAGCCTACGGATGTTAACCATACCAGTCCCTAAGGATCGTTAGTCTCTGAATGGGCGATCTCCCACAGCCTCACACTCATCCCCAGCGCGCAGGTCCTGGGTCATGCATATCCACACGGGGAGGCTTCTTGGGGCTTATAGGGTTGAAGGGCTTTAAAGGCCAGCCTTCAAGATCCCTTGAACCCTTGACAGGGGGGCCAAGACCAACAATGATAAACATGCGCATTTCTCTCAGGGTCTATAGGGGTTCTGGGTTCAGGTGTGTGCGAACTAACCTGAGCTTTCAGAAAGATGCGAGCTCTAGACTCTTGGCACGAGCATGAGCATCCCTCGCCGGGGTGCGAGAAGATGTTGAGGGCCAGCAGCATTAAACCAAAGGCGCCCACTACCCGAAGGATTCTGCAGGCTGTCAAGGCATGACGCGCCTGAGCAGAATCACAGGGTTTAGGGGTTTAGGGGTTTAGGGGTTTAGGGTTTAGGGGTTTAGGGGTTTAGGGTTCAGGGGTTTAGGGTGTAGGGGAAATGGAGGATGGGTGACTTCGTGCTGGTACCCGTGCTGTATCATGGTAGCAGACCGATGCTTCGAATCTGCTTCAAGTGCGCACGACCTGCCTACACAGGCCTACACAATGTAAACTCCCATACACGCTCATTCCTTAAGCCCCTTGAGCTCCAAAAACCTTATACTCCCTAAGCCCTACTTAAACCCTGAACTCGTATCCACCCGGAAAAAACCCTACACCCTACACCCAGAACCCGTTGAATTTAAGCCCTGAACGCCACAATCTGAAGGTTAGGCCTTGGCGTCCAAAGCATCCACCATGTGCCTCGGCACCAATGGCGGCAGTTTGGAGTGTTTAGGGCTCAACGGTTAGGGCTGTAGAGAGGGTAGAGGAGCCCTAAACCCGAAAAGGCTTTTGAGTGTGGGTTGAGGGGGGCCGAGGGGGTAGGAGTAGGGCGCTAGAGATTTTAGGTTGACCCGAGCTGCCTGTTGGTGATGAAGCGAGAGTGGGAGAAAGGGATGCACAGCCACCACTCCCCCTTGAGCTCTCGCTAGTTGTAGAAAGACATTACACTGATTCAGTTGCTGATTCAGTTGAGCAATGCTGGACGGCAGGTCCGCAAGGCAAGAAACTACTTGCCATGTGTTCAGGCGACGTCGACGCGACAATCGAACCGTGGCGTCGATTCACCGGCCATCCTCTTTCACTTCCGCACGGACACATGGGGGTTTACGAAAAAGGCGTGCCCCTTTTATGGGCCCCTTAAGGGGAATCTATTCTATTCGGGGGAAAAAAGGGGCACCCCCATTGTCGTAAACCCCATATCTGTAGACTTCGAAGCTAGCGGACTCAGTAATTGCATTGAAGAGGTAGATGGGATGATGGGCAGCTTTGCTACAGCTGCCCCAGCACCTGTTGCGGCAATCGCAATACCCTGAACCCTCACACCCCAAACCCTAAACCCCTCTAACGCCCTAAGCCCTCCATCCTAAACCCTACACCCCAAATCCCCTAATGCCCTAACACCCCGAACTCCATACACCTCGGCCAACAAATGCATAGAGCCAAGCAGCCTGGCGCTCACATCGGGCGTGCGCAGTCGCGGGAGGCACAAGCCCCGCGCCATGGGTGGCCAGTTCTTCCCCCCTTCTTTGGGGGGGTGGCGCAAGAGATGCAGGGGTTTTGAGTATTGCGATCCTTATATCAGTATGATTAACATGACTACTATCATCATCCACTGCACAAAGGCAGCAATTTTAATGGCTGTGCTTTGGTTGGGTGTATGCTTGATGGTCTAGCCGCCCTACGCTCACTAGTAAGAGGGCCCAAGCCTGCCCTCTCAAGGCATCTGGAACTCTGGGACGTGAGATCACCAGCCTTTCAAACCCTGAACCCGCATGAAGAAGTGAAAATAAACATGCGGTTTAGGGTTTAGGGTTTAGGGTTTAGGGTTTAGGGTTTAGGGTTTAGGGTTTAGGGTTTAGGGATGTGAGTAGATATATACACATACACATATCTATATCACATCCATACACATCCTGCGTCTGGCCTGCTTCCCCACGCATGCCCTCGCATCTCTGCATAGCTGTGGGCACAATGCAGCGATCCACCACCAACGTCTGACAACGCACGCCCCATTATAGCTCCAGTGTTTGGGTACATTGGCTTCAAGAACCTTAATATCCCGAAAAAGGAACCACAGCTGGAGGCCGAGTCTAACAAAACCCAAAGTGCCCTACATATCCAGGGGGCCATAGGTTAGGGTTACCGATTTGGGTACTTTGAGGGTTCAACCCTGAACCCTAAACCCCAAACCCGACCACAGCAATACTCAGAATTCCTGAGCCTTACAAGAGAAGGCCAAGCGAGAAGCAACCCTATAATATCCCAAGCTTTCTAAGAGTAACTTTACCAGCATACAGTACTACCATGTCTTCCGCTCTCTGGCCGTGAAGGGAGTTTGGGGATCGTATAAGGCCTAGGCAGCCAATAAGTCCCGAATCCCACTGGGCCCTGGCCTGCCCAGCCCCCCCCAGGCCGCCCATGTCGTTCATCATGTCATTGAAATCCTCCGAGGTTCAGGGCTGAGAGGGCTTCGGGGCTTGGGGTCATTCATATGGGCTATGAAACCCTAAACCCTACACCCTAAACCCTAAACCCTAAACCGCCCAACCCCCAAGTGATGGGAGATGACTTGTATGTGGTCCGGGCATTTTAAGGGTTGAGGGGTAATCAACTCCTCCTTAGCCCATCCTAGCCCATTGTTGCTTGTTCTGACACGTGCGTGCAACGCGCCATCCTCCAAAGCTTGACGGATTCCACTCGGTCAATATTGGAAGAGGCTCCGGAGTCATGTAACACCCACCCTAAACCCTGAACCCTAAACCCTAAACCCTATAAACCCTAAACCCCAAACCCAACGTGCGGCATGAGGTAACCAAGGAGTTCACAAGGTGGATCAAGGTTGGAGCCGCTACCACCGTGAAGAGGTGCCCTGAGCCTTTTGATCCCGACCCTTAGAACCCTAAGCCCACTTCTCTGTAGGACATATCTATAAAGCCTCTTATAGGATTCTTAGGTAACCTACAGAAAAAAAACCTAGGTTTTTGGATTCTCAAGGTCAACCAACACAGTGCCACTGCCGGCAGTCGCAGCAGGGTGTCGTGCCACACCACAGTGTGCCCCTAGACCCACCCTGAACCCTGAACCCTGAACCCTAAACCCTAAACCCCAAACCCCAAACCCGATGCAATTCGAGTTCCTTCCTGCATACGCCTCTGATGGCCTGCGGCTTGTAGACAGATTCTCGCAAAACGCTGTGTTGTATACAGCTGTGTAGGGTCTGGAACCCTAAACCCTAAACCCTAAACCCTAATCCCTAAACCCTAAACCCTAAACACTAAACCCTAAACCCTAAAACCACTGGCAAAAGGGAGCCCATGGGTGCCAGGTTTGCGTTAGGGGGCTGCAATGCATCCGAGGCAGCTGCCTTGTCCATTTGGGCCTTCTTCTCTGCCATGGCCTGGCAAATCGCGAGTCCCCTAAACCCTAAACCCTAAACCCTAGGGGTTTTCGGGGTTACCTGGACTTACCTATCTGTGCTCAAGAGAAGGGAAGTGTACCTCAGGTACTGGATCTGTTGATGCAGGCTTACCCTACGTCGGGCTGAGTGAGGGCCGGAGACGGTTTGCGAACGCTGGTGGCCCGCACTTGCGATTCTGCTGCCCGAAATACCCTAAACCTGACACCCCAAACCCTAAACCCTAAACCCTAAACCCTAAACCCTGAACCCTAAACCCTAAACCCTAAACCCTAAACCCTAAACCCTAAACCCTAAACCTGACACCCCAAACCCTAAACCCTAAACCCTAAACCCTAAGCCCTAAACCCTAAACCCTAAACCCCAAGAACCTTTGACCCTCTACACCCCAGGCCCAAACCCAACAGCCCTTTGCTCTTCCACGCGTGGCCACCCGAAGTCGGGGCACCTAACCCTGGGGTTTGGGGTTTAGGGCTAGGGTTTAGGGTTTAGGGTTTAGGGTTTAGGGTTTAGGGTTTAGGGTTTAGGGGTTAGGATTTAGGGTTTAGTGTTTAGGGTTTCGGGTTGAGGGTTTAGGCTTAGGTTTTTGGGTTTCTGGTTTGGGATTTAGGGTTTATGCAGCCGAAGCGCGAGCGCGAAGCTCCCAACCCATCCCAGAAACCCTAGGCCCTAAGTCCCAGCTTCTCGGTAATTAGTCTAGCACCCTAAACCCTATACTACTACTTGCTGAAGAACCCCCCCAAAAATGTAAGATAATCATCCTTGGTACGGCCCTCATAAGGAAGAACATACCTGTCTTGTTCTTTGATTTTTTTGGGGGCAGGGGTTGAGAAAAGAGTGGTAACACCCTCAAGCCTGGAACCTAAAGCCTAGAACCTGAGTCTTGTATCCTGGGCCCGACGTAAGCCAAGCCCTTCATTCTCAGACGCATGCTGTCTCGGACAAGACATTGACAACCGGGGCAAGGGAGCCTCGAGTTGCTTTAGGGGCTTAGGGTTTAGGGCTGAGGGTTGAGGGTTGAGGGTTTAGGGTTGAGGGGTGTAGGGTTTGGGGTTTAGGGGTGTAGGGTTCAGGGTTTTAAGGTTTAGGGATGTTTAGGGGTTTTAGGGTTTCAGCTGAACCCCCTCCCGAGTAGTTACACATAGGGGGCCCGCAGCCCAACGAACACAAGGGCATACACAAATCTTCAGGGGTTCAAAACCGTAAACCTTAAACCCTACACCCTACCCTCCTGAACCCTCAACCCTCAACCCTAAACCCTACACCCTACCCATGCGCCTTCCAGTCTACATTCTCGCGCTTGTTGATCTCTGCGGCCTTCTTACAATCTGACCTGATGGCTGGGGCAACTGGGCCAAGCAGCGGACATCTAGGAAATACCCGTGAATCGTAGACCAGACCAATGAGCAGCCGAGGAATGGGCTTAGAAGGGAACCCCTAAACTCGAAAGAAAGGGAAATAAGGGCCCACCCTGGGTCCGAGCAGATCCCAGCGTGCATGAAGGGTCCAGAAGTTTAGGGTTTAGGGTTTAGGGTTTAGGGTTTAGGGGTTCTTCCAGGTTCAGGGCACATTGCGCTGGGAGGAGAGACTGTCTCGGAGCAAGGCTTCTGAAACAAGACGAGACTTACCCAAGGACTCTTATTTTGAAGGTATTTAGGCCCAAAGGCCTTCTTATGAACTGCTTTTGGGGCATTTTAAGCCTAAGGGTTCAGGCCAGCTACTCAGGCATAACGAAACACAACCCTGTTAACTAGAACGTTTGACGGCTCATGTCTCGTCGCCTCCAACGAGCAGTCCTGCAGCGAAGCCCTTTTACTCCCAATTGTTTCCCAATTCAAGCTACTAAGTTAAAGTATACAGACATTTAACATAAGAATAAGAATGTCAGAACTTCAAATGCACATTTTCTATACACATTATATATATACACAGAAATGTGTGTATGTATATATATATATACACATACATACACGCTTGCTTGAGGGTTTAGGCCTAGGGAAATTACTATGCCGCAGAGGCACGCCACGTGGCCCTTGTCACCACAAATGGTACAGGTCACCTCAGCCATCTGCTGATGTTGAAAGGGCGCAAGCAGACCCTCCGTAGGCATCAGCACCCAGAAGCCTAACTCCTAGAGCCCCAGTTTAGGGTTTAGGGACACTTGGGCCTTAAAGGGGGTTCCTCTACAGCAGCTCTAGGGGTTTCTCAAGAATAGACTGTGCAGATACAGGGGTTTTTTGGGAACCTGAATCCCAAGGTAGAAAGCTCAAGCCTGTAGACTTCAACCCCCGGAACCTCGAAGAGCAAGCAGGCTAAGCAGATAACCGGATGCATGTCCTTAAGGACCAAATGAACCCTAAATGTGGGATCATAGGCCCTGTACTACTGTAATCCCAATTAGGGTATATGAACCCGTGGTTACCGAGGTTCTGTAAGGCATACAATGGCTTCAAGGCATTCGTGGGCCCGCAAACTACCTTGAGCCTTTGAACAGAGAAAGGGCTTAGGGTTTAGGGCTTGTAGGGTTTAGGGTTTAGGGTTTAGGGTTTAGGGCTTGGGGTTTGGGGTTTATAGGGTTTAGGGTTTTGGGGTTTAGGGTTTAGGGTTTGGCAAAGGCCGGCGCGTTCGCCATCTTGTAGTTCTGGTTGTTCGTCTCGGGGCACTCAAAACCTTAGGCACAAGGGCAGATAGTTTGAGCGCCATCACACAAAAAAAAACCCTAAACCCTAAACCCTAAACTCCGAAATCTGCTTGCTGCCTGAGAGCCGAGATGGCCCAAGGCGCCACAGATGCCGCAGCGCTGCTCCGCCTTGTTCAGGGAGAAGCCTGGCCAAAGGCTTATGGGGGATGTAGGGGTTTGCAGGGTTTAGGGTTTAGGGTTTAGGGTTTAGCTTCTATAGATAGGGTTTATTTGCTTTAGGGTTTTAGGGGCATTGCAGGCGGACTCGTGGGCTCATGGGCCTTTTCAGATCTCAGGGTTGAAATCATCTTCGGCTGCGAGAAGCAACAGCCGGCACACCAGAAGATAAACCACCCAAAACCCAAAACCCAAAACCCTAGACCCTAAACCCTAAACCCTAAAGACGTTCATCAGTGATTCATCAGTGATTGTACTGCGCAAGTGGGCGTGAGGCACCCTAGGGTTGAGGTTTCGGGTTAAGGGTCGTCAGGCTCGGGGTGTGCCAGGGAGTGAGGAGGGCACCGTTCGGGGGGGACCGCATGGCCCTTTTTGTATCTCCGCGCTCCTTAAAGAGGAGGAATTCTTACCCCTAAACTGCCCGAGTGCATGAACATCACCTCGATCATGAATCATGCAGGCTTCGGGCGCTTTTAGGGTTTAGGGTTTAGGGTTTAGGGCTTAGGGCTGTTGACTTCTTGCCTGTGGCAGCAGGCAATCCACCCTGCGGACTAGCTGACTAGCTCCACTAACCTGTCAGCCATTAGGGCCAACGTCCACATTCCTAAACACTACGCTCCTCAACGGCTCAGAAAGCGAGGGTTTCCTTGATCCCCAAGAAACCCTTACACATGGCCTTGCGGGATACACTGCAAGAATACGGCACCAGTAAACAGGAACTACAACTGAAAACTCTATGCAGACAGGCCGTTGTAGAGGGTACTGTTGGGGTCGGCAATCGGTTAGGCCCACCCAGAAGTAGCAACTGCTGTGAACATCATAGCTCTTCTTCATAGTATGAGTGTTCCTCTCACCTGAATATTTTCGTAAATTCATACTACCCTACACCCTACAACCCTACCCCCTAAACCCTAAACCTTGTGGGTGGGGGTGGGGACCTAATGTCTGTCGCCCAAGATGTCAAGACGTTCGCAGGGAGGGCCGTTGACCATGGCCAACTGCTGCATGCCGTGCGTTCGTGCCTGGAGGTGTGTGTAGGGTTTAGGGTTTAGGGTTTAGGGTTTAGGGTTTAGGGTTTAGGGTTTAGGGTTTAGGGTTTAGGGTTTAGGGTTTAGGGTTTAGGGTTTAGGGTTTAGGGTTTAGGGTTTCGGGTTTAGGGTTTAGGGTTAAGGGTTAAGGGTTAAGGGTTTAGGGGGGTTTAGGGGGGTTTAGGGGGGTTTAGGGGGGTTTAGGGCCGTTTAGGGTTTAGGCTTTAGGGTTTAGGGTTGAGGGTTTAGGGCTTAGGGTTTAGGGGGAGTATCAGGATACAGGGATATATAGGGTCACAGAGTTATAAGGGTTAGGGATATGCCAGGAGTGAGGTTTAGGGTTGTAGGGTTTCTAGGGTTATAGGGATATCAGAGGTATCAGGGCTGTAAGGGTCATCGGGATATGGGGTTACATAGGATAGGGCTATGGAGGGTTGACTCTGCCAATCTTGTTTGAGCTCCCTCCCCGTCTTGACTGAGATGAAAACATCCTTCCGAGGCAGGGTTGCTCTTAGGGTTTAGGGTTTAGGGTTTAGGGTTTAGGGTGTAGGGTTTAGGGTTTAGGGTTGAGGGTTTAGGGTTTAGGGATATAGTGATGGACGCCACACAATGGTGACAATATGACCCCATTATTGTGGCCCTTAAACCCTGCATCAAGTCCTGGACCCTATAAGCCCTAAACCGTTCCTTAGTAAACATCGGGGGGGGGGGGGGGGGTCCGAAGAAAGCCGCCACAACCCGACGGACCCTCCACCAAGAAATCTCCCAAAATCCGCCCACAACCTTGAGCTACCTGCCCTCAACCCTAAACCCTAAACCCTAAAACCCTAGACCCTCAAGCTGCTGGGGGCCCCGGCGTACTCGAACTCGGGACTCTCAGGGTTCAGCAGGGGCTCCACCAACCGCTCGCAGTGGAGGATCTGCTCCTCTGGCTTCTATACTGAACTTGGAACCCCAGTAAGAATTACAACTTTAGCTGTTTCTTACCCAAAAATGATAGATTTAGCTGCCTCTTCGGAATTACAGTACCCAAACATTAAAGATTCGCACCCAAGTTACATTAAAGACCCCAAGTATCCCTAAGGCTCGGCTTCTTGGCTTTGAGCTCCCGAGACCCTTGGGGGGTTGAGGGCTGGCTATGGGGGGGGTGATGGGGGTCATGGAAGGGTTGTAAGGCTTTCAAGGCTTATAAGGGTTATAAGGGGTATAAGGGCTAGAAGGCTTATAAGGGTTATAAGGCTTATAAGGGTTATAAGGGTTGTAGGCTTAAGGGATTCATGAGGTCCTTCTTGGGCCATTAAAGGGTTGCATGCTGGAGGTGGTATTGGAGTTGCGAGTTGCCTGGGGCTTCTCCGAGTGGCTCAAGGCAGGCCCCTGGAGCTGTAGAGTACAATTTGGGAGTTAGGGGTTTAGGGTTTAGGGTTTAGGCAGTGCCCTCCACAACCTCGACAGGAGGCCTTGTTCCACCTGGGGCTTATAAACAAGGACTCAATAGGGGGCAGGGTAACCGGCCAGCACGCAGCCCGTGTCGCTTTCCTGGCTTTACCCACAGCGGCTCAACTGCATGCACGCTGGACAATAATCGATAGGTGGGACGGAAAAAAGGGCACCCACTCTTGACCCTAAATGTCATAGAATCCCCTATTACACAAGGGACCCCTAAACCCTAAACCCTAAACCCCAAACCCTAAACCCCTAAACCCTAAACCCCTAAACCCGAGGGTGACCCCCAATTTTTCCGCCCCCGACATGTCAGCCTTCACAGATCCGGCTTTGAGAATCTGCCGGCTGGTGCTAGGGTCCCGACCCTGGTCTCCAGGCCACAAGCTGTTTTTTGGTTGTGTCTGTATATCTAGTTTATTGTTACTACTATTCTTGTTCTTATTGTGAATGCTAGTTCTGCTTGCTTATTCACATGTATTGGTGAAAATGTATACATATGAAATGCCTGTATATATTTATACCTACACACACGCATACATATATATATATATATATAAACGTACCCCTCTTTTATTGCCCTTTGGATATCCTGGCCCGCCCCCTCCACCCCTCCCCCCCCCCTCGCACCTGAAACCCAACCCCCACCCCCCCCCAACCCCCCACCTCTGCATCGCAGGGGCCAGTGTGCTTGGGGTGCGGGGGAGGGGGTGCCGGTCCTACAGTAACCCAGCACAGGGAATGCCCTCAAGCCGGAGCCCCAAACAATCAACGGCCACACCACAGAAAAAGAGGGGGAGAAACCTACACTCCAAAACCCACCTCGACCAGGGGGGGGGGGGGGGGGGGGGGGGGGGGGCGCGGGGAGGGGCCATGGAGCGCGTGACCCTATGCAGCATAAAAATAAGCCCTTGTACATATAACTAAAAGAACTAGTATGCAGCCTTGGTCTTCGGCTGTGGAGGCCAAACATGGCAGAACACCAGAAGGTGCAACAGCGGAGCCGGCTGAACAGACCCCATGATGGGTTGTCATTGTGCTTAATAATGATAATAATACTGATAGCAATAATAATAGTACTAATAATAATAATAAGAGCCCTAATTCAACTTGGAGCTTAGGATTGAAGGTTTAGGGCTTGGAGGGGCCCGCTCCCACCTACAGAGCTTGATGGCGGCTCATCCGGCAAGTCCGCGCAAAACAGCCCTAAACCCTAAACCCTAAACCCTAAACCCTAAACCCTAAACCCTAAACCCTAAACCCTAAACCCTAAACCCTAAACCCTAAACCCTATCGGCGGAAGCCTTGGCCTCCTCACGGGATTTTTAGGGCTCCGGGGGCTCACATCGCAGTTTCCTTCACAGTTTCGTTGCGGCGTCCAGTGCAGAGGAACAGAGTCTGCAGTGGCGCACGTTGAAAACGGGAAAATGGGGACAGCGCTCAGTTTGCAGTGGGAAAACTTGCGCAAGGCCGGCTTAATTACGTGGCGTGGCAGGGCCAATGGTTGCACGGATGTCCAGGCGCAGTGGCGAAATTTCCCATCACACGCAACATGTCCCTAGTCCTATGAACCGCGTCAGCTGTAAGCTCTACAAGTAACTTTTGGAATATTCTGGGTGGTTGTCAAAATTATGATCCCTTTCTGGGGTACCCAAAATATTAGCTGCCGTATTCTAACAGGGATCCAAAAAAGGAGCATGATTTTGACAACCACCCATATGGCTATCAGTTCGCAGCTTTCTGCTCGATTGCCGCCCATAATGTGAAGGCGTGATGGGGGCTTAGGGTTTAGGGCTTATAGGGCTTCGGATTCCGCTGTCATTTGGCTATCTGCCAAGCACGAACACATGTGCAAGCGTGTGATGTCTATACTCGTGCTGTAGACGAAAGCCTTGTAACCATTGGTCGTGCCGTACAGAGGTCTCCCGCGTCCTCCCGCGCGACCTTTGCAATCCTCTTCGCGAGCTGACGCAGGCAATCGCACACCTAACCTCCTCACTTGCACATGGTACAAGTCTACGGATCGTTAGACAGAATATCCAGCAAAGTCGGCCTCAAGCCCGCCAATCCCCGAAACCCCCCTAGAATCCCTGGACCCCAAACCCTATAAACCCTCTAAACCCTATAAACCCCCTTAACCCCTATGAACCATATAAACCATATAAACCCTACAAACCCTACAAACCCTACAAACCCTACAAACCCTACAAACCCTACAAGCCCTACAAACCCTGTAACCCTACAAACCCTACAACCCTACAAACCCTATGAAACCCTATAAACAAACCCTATAAACCCTGTAACCCTATAAACCCTATGAACCCTATAAACCCTATAAACCCTATAAACAAACCCTATAAACCCTATAAACCCTATAAACCCAATAAACCCTATAAACCCTATAAACCCTACAAACCCTACAAACCCTATAAACCCTATAAACAAACCCTATAAACCCTATAAACCTTATAAACCCTATAAGCCCTATAAACCCTATAAACAAACCCTATAAACCCTATAAACCCTATGGTTCCTATAAACTCTATAAACCCTATAAACAAACCCTATAAACCCTATAAACCCTATGATTCCTATAAACTCGAAACCCTCTAAGCCTGTGTCTCCGTCGTGCTCCAAAGCCTTAGGCCCGGTCTGGCGGTCGTCGTCTGCGCCGAGCAAGACGCCGGCTCCTGCGAACGGCCCGGTGCTCGCTTTTGAGGGGTTTAGGGTTTAGGGTTTAGGGTTTAGGGTTTAGGGTTTAGCAAAAAATGTCCCCTCATCCGGGCCAGAAGCTTACCCTCAAACCCAGCAGTAGGTGCCCAGAACGGCCATCATCCAACACGGTGAAAACCAAGCACGGCGGAACCATGCCAAATGCCCCAAGCCCTGAAACCCCCCTACCTAACTCCCAAACGCCGAACTCCAAACCCTAAACCCTAAGCCCTAAACCCTAAACCCTAAACCCCAAACCCTAAACCCTGAACCCCAAGCGCACCTTCGAGATGGGAAGATTGGAGCTGTCCAAGCGACAGGTGCTCACTGCATCCTGGCACAGCTCCCGACGTCTCGCGGGCTTCGGGATCCTAGGGGTTTAGGGGTTTAGGGTTTGGGGTTTAGGGTTCAGGGTTTAGGGCTTAGGATTTCGAGCTTAGGGTTCCAGGAGTTTAGGGAGTTTCGGGGAGTTAGGGGGTTTTGGGGGGCTTAGGGTTTGGGGCGGGCGTAGGGCTTGGGGATCTATGTTTAGGGGGTTGGGCATATATAAGGACCTCACGAGCGTTTAGGGCTTTTTCGAAGGCTTCGGGGGCATCCACGGGTTGCCACATTTCTTCGTGTCTTTATTTGAGATGTGCCCCCTTATACTAACGTACAGTCCGTAATCTGGATTAGATTAGACCTCCTATGACAACGCGTAATTATTAAGGACTGTTGTTAGTACAAGTATAACTATAAGGGGGAACATCCCAAGTCTTTCTGTATGTTGGGGTGGTTCTCTTGAGCTGAGAAGATTTTAGAGCCTAAGCCCTGATATGTTAAGGGTCCATCTACCTCCTTATTATACACTTCGGCCCCTCAAGCCCCCATAATGAGACCTGGGCCCTGAAGTCCCCACATAACACATTCTTTAAGTCCCAAGCATTCCTTATTTAGGTGCATGACTCTCTTAGGGATATGGACTTGAACTGCCCGGATATTTCGGCAACCCTCCACTGCTGCACCGAAGGGCCTCATTGACCTCCGCGAGCAGCTCGCTGGGAGCCACAGCACGGCCACAATCCGCAGATCGCTGGACCGCCAGAACAACGGCCAAGCCTGGCATATGGCATCCCTGCGAGGGTTCAGCGGTTTTTGGGGGGCTTGGGGCCTTTATGGGTTCTGCGGGTAGGGGTTTCAGGGTATCCCTATGAGGGTTTAGCGGTTTGGGGGTTGGTCGGTTTAGGGTTTAGGGTTTCAGGGCTTTAGGGCTCAAGCCTGTAAGGATAGTTCCGAGATGACTTAAGTATCTAGAGTATACTGAGTGTTGTATACGTATAGCCAAGAGTACCCTAGAAGCCCTATAGGCTAAGCGCAGATGCACTGGGAGCTTAGCACCCCTGTAGGGTTTAGGGTTTAGGGTTTAGGGTTTAGGGTTCAGGGTTTAGGGTTTAGGGTTAGGGTTTAGGGTTTAGGGTTTAGGGTTTAGGGTTTAGGGTTTAGGGTTTAGGGATTAGGCCCGAGGGAGCGTTGAGACGACACAAGATCTCAAGATGCGCCAAGAAGCTCTCCACGGCATCACGGCCACTGCACACCTGGATCTGAAAAAAAAACAGGTTTAGGCTTAGGGTTTAGGGTTTAGGGTTTAGGGTTCCAGGTGGCTTCTACAAGTCCGAAAAAGCCTGTAGGCCCTAGACGAATTATCAGGAACCATTTCGCGTACCCGGCCCCTGCATGATTTATGCGGACCCAGCACTTCACTATTTCGGACCAGTTGCTGGGATCTCTTCTCCTGTGCACCATGTGCGGGCAGAGTTGGCGAGTCTACTATGGGTCCAAAACGCCTCCGCTTCTACCCGGGAGGATCCACTTGTGCGCTATCAAGCTATGAAATGGGAACCCCTTTAAGGCCCAAGTATGTACCCACCTTGGGGACCAAACATCAACCCTAAAGGCCCCAGGTATATGTGGGATCCTTCTGGTCGTCAGTTCTTGGTGACTATGAGGCTTTAAGGCCACATGGGGGTTTACGATATTGAAGGTACCTTATGTGGGTCCTTATTTTGAGGGAGTCCTTCTACTTGGGGTCTATATTATTGTCCCCTATTTTCGTAAACCCCTCACAAAAAATGTGAGAGGATGAACATGCACTGGAAACGGAGCCCCCCCCTTGACCTTGCGAAGCCAGTCCTCGGCAAACTCCGACGAAATGCTTCATCTGCAGGAAGAGTGGATCCTCCAGTCTGGACGTCTAGATTCTGGAACTTATTAGCCCTAAACCCTAAACCCAAAAACCTTAAACCCCAAACACATAAACGCTCCAAGGAGGGCTGTTTACATATGACTGATGACCAGAGTAAGCTGGGATCTCCGCCGGATGTCCTGATAAGTCAGCTTCTGATTAAGCTCCTTGAGCCAAGAACTGGCCTTGTACCAAGAACGCCCGAAAGGCCAGAAAGGCCCCTAACTATCCCATGATCCCACCTGGCGAAGCCTATGCCCTTGCCTTGCAGAACCTCCGAAACAAGCAACTGCACCCAGCAGTGCCTCCATCTCAACCTCGGCGGATCGCACGGCGATGTTCGGAGAGTTCGGGTTAAGGGGCTATCAAGTGGTTGAGGTGGGACGGGCTTAGGGCTCCTTTTCGTTGGGGACCTGCTTTTCAGGGATCCAATTCTGATAGGTACCTCATCGGAGACCTGGGTATACAAGGGAAGATCCGCGAGACCAGGACGGTAGTGAAGGCTGGGGGATCAGGGTGGTTTGGGGTTCTGACCATTGCATGTGTATGCGCGGACGGTGCAATGCGAGAGATGCTCAACGCTGGCACTAGCAGCAACTCTTTGTCGAGTTCACTTTGCCAGTTTGGCCAGTGTCTGCTCTAAACCACATCGTCGGACTCGCAACTTAGGAAGCATAGATCAGTCAACTCCACACTCGCTGTACCTGACAACGCCGATCGAGGAAAGCAGGGAGGTGAAAACCTACTTGAAGAGCATCCACGCCTGAGATCCTACCAGCAAATCCGCCCTAATCAAGCCCTAACCCCTAAACACTAAACCCGGCAAAGCAAGAGGTGGCAGGTGGCATGAGAAACCGTTCCAAACAAACTGCCCGATAGGCTCCCGGCCGAGGATTGGTCCATCGACAATGGGGAATCCCAGCCACGCTCCGTGGCGGCACGGTAGGCGTAGCTGTGAAGGCTCGGAAAGCCCAGGGAACCTCATCTTGGTAGCCCAGTTGCTATGTATTATAAAAAAGGCACCCTTTTTTGGGGTTGGTTACTTCATAAGGGAACCTTGCATGAACCCAAAAAAGGGAAAAGGGTACCACTGGGCTACCAAGTCATGTATCGGAGAATGGCAATGAGTCACAGTTGCCCAGGTAAAGGCACCCGAATTGATATCAGCACACCTGTCTACAGAACCCTTGCAACCGCAACATGTCAGGAAACAAAAACATACGACAAACTTCAGACTGTGAAGAAACACGGTGTTTTGCCGGGCTAGGGCATAATTCCTGAAACATGTCCTGTATGCATCCCTAAACCCTAAACCCTAAGCCCTAAGCCCTAAGCCCTAAGCCCTAAGCCCTAAGCCCTAAGCCCTAAGCCCTAAACCCTAAACCCTAAACCATGTAGCCGGCGCCCAAGACACCTGCCTGCCGCAGCCTTGAACCCCAAACCCCAACCCTTGCTTTGTGTCTGCTCTTCAGCAATCGCACTTCTGAGCTTTTAGGGTTTAGGGTTTAGGGTTTAGGGTTTGGGGTTTAGGGAACATGGAGAGCAGTTCTCGAGGGTTTGGGTTTTTAGGACCCTCAACCCCCCTCCTCCCCCCCCGCCCGAAAACGGCAAAAGAGGGCCAAACTTAGAGAACCGACGCCCCCTGGACTGTAAACCCACAGTGCAGGACCCAAAAAAGCCGGCCATGTGCACAGCATTTTGACCGCACTTTCAGCGGCGGTGTACGCGCGCGCGCGCGCGCGCGCGTGTGTGTGTGTGTGTGTGTGTGTGCATACGCATTAAAAATCTTAACTACCCTAAACCCCAAACCCTTGCACATGCTGCACGAGCACCTTGAACCCTAAACCCTAGACCTGTAAACCCCAAACCTTTGCACAAGCTACACAAGCACCCTAAGCCCTAAACCCTAAACCCTAAACCCCAAACCCGAAGCCCTAAACCCTTGCACAAGCCGGGGCGCACTGGGCTCCCATAAAGTGGTAGCAGTCACGCGTCTCATTGTCAGGCACCTCCAGGGTTTAGGGTTTAGGGTTTAGGGTTTAGGGATATTCAGTTTAGGTTTTAGGGTTTAGGGGTTAGGGGTTAGGGCTGTTCAGGGTTCTGGGATCCTCAACCCTACGCCCTAAGCCATAGAACAGTACTTCTTGAGGGTTTAAGGCTTACGGGCTACTTGGCTGTATGAGCGATGTGGACGCACCCGGATGAGGACATGAAATGCCGGCAAGCATCCCCATGGACAGGGACAATCCCCAACTCATTCATCCCTCTGGCTGGCTCTGCCCATGCCAGCCTTTGCGTTTGAGTCATACGAAGAAACCTAAACCCTAAACCCTAAACCCTAAACCCTAAAACCTGGTACCCCAAACCCTATAAACCCTGAACACGATCCAGTCTTCGGGTACCATCTTCTGCAACAGAAGCTCGGCACTTACTCCGTGTGCATGCAGGCTGCCGGTGGGTACTTCTTGTTCTCCCTGGTGGTAAACCTCGGCCAGCCATGGGTGTAGAGTTTATAAGGGTTGAGGGTTCATAAGGGGTTTATAAGGGTTCCTAAGGGCTCCTGAAACCTTATAAGGGGTAATACGGGTTTATCAGGGTTTATAACGGTTTATAAGGGTTTTCAAGGGCTTATAAGGGTTTCCAAGGCTGGGGTCGCAACACTATTTCCATCTCAGAGCCTCCGGCAAGCCTTAGTGGAAGTCCTCACCGCAATTTCCTGTAGCAAAACTGCCTCTTAACCTTCCACGGGTAGAGTCGCGAAGCCCCAATAGCTAGTGAACCCAAGACCCATCTTCCACAGTAGAGTCCCTAAACCCCCAATGGCTATAGTAACCCTAAAACCCATGAATCAGTGGCCTTTCAGACCCAAACCTTAGCCCAAAAAGCCTCAACGCCATGGTAACCCTAAAACCCATGGCCCATGAATCAGTCTACCTTCAGGCCCAAACCGAAAGCCCCAAATGAGCCTAAACACCATGAAAACCCTAAACCCTAAACCCTAAACCCTAAACCCTAAACCCTAAACCCTAAACCCTAAACCCCAAACCCCAAACCCCAAACCCCAAACCCTAAACCCTAAACCCTAAACCCTAGCCTGCCAACATGAGGCGCCCCCCCCCCCCCCCTCTTTCCACAGCCCGGTCACTCGTAGCTCCATGGCGCTGGGGAGGCGTCGGTGAAGAAGAGGGTGCCTCCAGGATCTGGGTTTTTGGGGTCGAGGGACTGGAGAGCTTGGGCTAGCCCCCGGAGTAGCCTGGGAATAAAAAAGGGTGCACTTTTTTGTTTCAGGGGGCTTGTAAACCCAGACCCCAAAACAGAAGAACAAGGGCCTACTCCGGGTCCTAGTGGAGTTTTAAGGGCTTCTCTCTGTTTGTAGGGGGCTGCGGGGTTGCCTTCGTGGCGCTATTGCCTTGACCCCCCTAATTGGTAGCTCCTTGCTGGGGCGGGCATACTCCATATGTGGAGTTCTCTAAACTCGGGTCTCCCTTTTGGGATCCTCTTTCTAAGGTGCCGTGCGACATTTGGGGACCCCAAAAGGGCCCCTAATGTAGAAAACTACCCATACACGGTAGGTCAAAGGGCTTTCTCAGGCCTACAGCGCCATGGTCGAAGGTCACCGTAACGCCCCCGGTGTCCTCAACCTTTCAGCCGAGCAGAGGATAACTCTAAACCCTAGGGTTTAGGGTTTAGGGTTTAGGGTTTAGGGTTTAGGGTTTAGGGTTTAGGGTTTAGGGTTTAGGGTTTAGGGTTTAGGGTTTAGGGTCTACACCTAGCCTCGTTTTTGAGCTGCGATTATTGTGCATTGTGAAGGACAAGGGGGGTCGGGAGTGCCAACACCGCGTGGAGCAATCCCACTGCAGACAAGCTCGACACCATACACCCGTACCGCCCCAAAAAGGAAACGGCCAAAACCCTAAAATCATGCAAGCAAAACCAAAAGCCCGCTGAACACCCCGCAAACGTCCCGCTCAACATGAACAAACCTATAAGCCCCCATGCACCCTGAAATCCTTTCAACGCCGCTCTGGAGCTAGCTACAAGGGCACTGCCCTTTATGTAAAATCTCAGGGCCCATACTTCAGAACCCCTTACCCGTACGCTACGGGACCATGCAACTGCCCATTAGAAAGATAAACCACATGCCCCAACAAACCCTGTAACTAAACCCCATAGACCTTAACACCCTAAACCCTAAACCCTCAACCCTAAACCCTAAACCCCAAACCCTCAACCCTGACCCCAATGCAAGCTTCTTGGCATTTTCACCCCCGCCTCCTCACCACGTGCTGCGCTGCTGGTCATGGCGAAGACTTTGGTGATCTCGTGGCCCGTGATGAAACCTGGGCTCGGAATGTAGAGGTTCAGAGTCTGGAGTTGGGGTTTGGGGGGCTCCGAAATTCCTAAACCCTAAATTAACCCTAAACCTAAACCCTAAACCCTAAACCCTGTCTAAACTCACTCAAGCCCCTGATCCTCTGCCCAGTGGCGCATCAAGTCCAAGTCGTGGATGGTGTTGATCAGGATGGGGCCGCCAACGCCCTGCGGGATTCAAGGTTGAGAAACAACACTTTTCAGGAGTTTAGGGCTTAGGGATTGATAGGGTTTAGGGTTTAGGGTTTAGGGTTTATAGGGTTTAGGGTTTAGGGTTTAGGGTTTAGGGTTAGGGTTTGGGGTTTAGGGTTTAGGGTTAATTGGATTTAGGGTTTAGGGTTTAGTGCGCCCCTGCGGGGGGGTCTTGTATCCAAAGATATGGGTTAAGGTTTAGGGTTTGAGTTCCTTTTTGTGGGCATGCGTCATCGCGTGGTCTTTTGATTTTTGAGAGATGCTTTTAAGTTGCGGGCTTCGGGGTTAAACTCTTCTTGTAGAGCAGGCTCCGTAACCCCTAACCCCTATAACCCCTAACCCTAAACCCTGAACCCTTGCTTCCGAAACCTTGAACCGCCCCACGACTAAACCCTAAACCAAGAGCCCCTAAACCGTCAACCCATGACCCACATATGCCCCCCGACATAAGTCCTATACCCCTAACACCCCGAACCCCTAAAAACCCAAAAAATAGGGCCCCGCAATGTCAAAAAAAAACCCACACACCCACACAGACCCAGGGTTTAGGGTTTAGGGTTTAGGGTTTAGGGTTTAGGGTTTAGGGTTTAGGGTTTAGGGTTTAGGGTCGCAGCCAGCCTTCCTCTTTCGCCACTCCAGGGCCGGGTCGTCGTTGCAGAAGTAGGAGTCGGGCTTCAGCAGCGAGAACTCCTGGGGGGGGGGGGGGGACTCGCAGTGCAACAGTGGCCCCCAAAAACTGAGGACCCTATATGCAGGGGTTTACGATAAGAAGGGGCCCCTAATATAATTATATATATATATATATAAAAACATATAGAGCCCCAAATAGAAGGATTCCTTTATAATAAGGACCCCAATCAGGTACCCCGAATACCGTAAACCCCTATATAACAGTCACATGAATCTGGGCTGCGACGTTTTTGAGGCTGAAGCTAGTTCGGGAAGCAGTGCAGGTGCATCGCTGCGGTGATCATCGAGATGTCTGCAGGAAAGTCGCCATATTCACGCCGCGAAGAGGCCCGAAATTCTCATCCTCAGTGTCGAAGGAAGGCTACGCCTCTAGAGAGGAAGCATCCTATTGCAACTGGGGCTATTCTACAGCGCCCTCGTGAGCACTTGCTGGGCAACCCGAAACCCTAAGCTCTTTAGGGCCAACTGCAGCACTCAGAGAATTTAGAGTTTTCGGTTCAATGTTGAGCGTAGGTTTCGTGTGCTCAGGGCGCTTTGTGGGCTAAAACCTAAACCCTAAACCCTATAAACCCTAAACCCCAAACCCTAAACCCTAAACCCCAAACCCTAAACCCTAAACCACCGAGGCTCCGTCACCATATGACGAGCCCGCTTCACAAGCCTGGAGTGGCGGCGCTGGTGGCCAATAAGTACCACCACGCCTGCCTGCTCCGTAAGACCTGACTGCTTCCAATTGGAGTTGGAGGTGCTTCGGGTGTTTTGGGCAAGACCCTACACCCTATAAACCCTTCACCCGTTTAGGGTTTAGGGGGTTTAGGGGGTTTAGGGGGTTTAGGGGGTTTAGGGGGTTTAGGGGGTTTAGGGGGTTTAGGGGGTTTAGGGTTCAGGGTTAGGCATGTAGGGTTTCAGCTGGATTCTGCAAGCCTGGAGAATTCAGCTGTCTACAAGCCAGCGTGTGATGCTGCTCGGTGGAAGTCCCGTACGTAGGTTTTTGTTACTAGTACCCCCCCAAAAAGGACACTCAATGTATGCAGTCACCGATAGTTGTAAGCAACCCTGAAGACACTCACCACGTTCTTAACAACCGAAGATCATACAATGAGCCCAACACAGCTGTCGTCCCTACCACAACATGCACATATGAACCTCTGGTGGATCAGAGTCGACCTCCTCACCCACGGCACATAGTTGAGGAACCCAGAGGGTCCATCTGTAGTACTATTCTGGAATTTGGTACCCAAAAACCATACTAAATCGGGTTTTTGGGTACCAAATTCCATAATAGTACTACGCCTGGGGAAGTGGGTTTGGGCTAGCCCATGATGAGATCTTGCTCGTTCGCATGGCGCTCATGCGTCATATACCGCTCCATAGTTCTGCGTCACTTCTACGGTGCTACATAGTTAAAATCGCGGCACCCGAACCCACCAGCCCTGAATCCCAACCCCCAACCCCCAAGCCCTTTAAACCCTAAACCCTAAACCCTAAACCCTAAACCCTAAACCCTAACCCTAAACCCTAAACCCTAAACCCTAAACCCTAAACCCTAAGCCCCGCAACTCCGGAAGCATCCGGAAGCCGGGTGGCTCAGGAGTTCCGATGCCTCGGCTCAGCTGCGTGAGCACAAGCTAGGAGCCAAACGTCGCTATTCGCCCGAAACTTCCCTACGCCCTAGACCCTAAACTACTTCTCTCAACCCTCGACATAAAAAGGCCCGAGACTCTGGGCACTGCTTCTTTTCAGAGGACAAGATCGTCTAAGAACCCTGTAGCAGAGCTTCCCTGTACACTTGCCTTCATCACTGCGCATTCACCCAACATCCTAAACCTAACCAAAAGAAAACTATTAAAGAGAAAGCACAAGGCTACTCCAAGCAAACCTTATCTGCACCTTAAGCCCTGCTCTCATTCCACTCCTATGCTCAGTCGCACCTACATGTATCCTGCAAAGGGGCACCCCATAGCCATATGTTCGCTCACCAATTTTCATAAGAATCCCAACTGCCTCTGGCCAAAGCCATTACAAAACAAAAAAACACCTGATTTGGTACAACCTCCCCCACCCGACCCCCCACACTCTTGCTCTAGCTTTTGCAGCCCCGGTCGCGGTCTGAAGGTCGTGGCTGATAGGCTTCTCGATGAGCAGCGCCCTTAGGCAACCGCCTTTTCGCACAGCTTAGGGTTTAGGGTTTAGGGTTTAGGGTTTAGGGTTTAGGGTTTAGGGTTTAGGGTTTAGGGTTTGGCCGGCGAGTTATTCGGTTGGAACAGTCGTCTTGTCGGGTTTGTGGAATTTGGGTTTCTGGAGATTTCGAGGGGTTTCACATGTTCAGGGTGCTAAGTTTGCAGGGTCCAGGGGGGTTGTGGTTTAGGGTTGGGGTACCAATTATTGCTAGCATTCTTATTATTCTCATAATTTTTCTTTATTCTTCTGATTATATTATAGTTCTTGGGGGCTCAGGGTTGAGGGTTTAGGGACCACGCAGGGGATTCCAGCCTCGCCCCTCTTGCTTCCGAAGTGCCGCGCCTTCAAGGCAGGCCTGAGCTGCGCTGTATAACCCAAAGGCTTTGTAGGGCTTCAAAACACCCTAAACCCTAAACCCTAAACCCTAAACCCTAAACCCTAAACCCTGAACCCTGAACCCTGAACCTGGAACCTGGAACCCTGAACCCGAATTAACCCCAAATCCTGCCACACACACCCCACACCCTCAACCCTGAAGAGCTCCTCAGCCCTTCGCGGCTCCGCGCCTTCGTCAGGGCCAAGTGGAGGTGCGTGGGGGCCGCGACGACCACCCCATCCAGGGCTTCCTCGCGGGCCATCTCCTGGAGGATTTGGGGTTTGGGGGGTTTAGGGGGTTTAGGTGGTTGAGGGGGTTCAGGGGGTTTAGGGAGTTTTGGGGGTTTAGGGCTTAGGGCTTAGGGGGTCACACGTTGATATCTGACCGTGTGGTGGCGGGCCTGTACGTTTTAGGGCATACACGGAAAGCGCTGTAAATTACAGGACTTCGTGCGTGTGGCTGTGGAAATTGAGGGATTCGTGCTTTAGGAAATCCAGGAACTCAAACTTAGGGCACTCATTTTAGCACACCTTCCCCAAGCGATCCAGGATGTTCGCTTGGGGACCAATTGCCAGCGCCAGACCCAGCTGTAGTTGTGTTCGATGAGACGCACATTGTATAAAAGAGGCAAAAATGCCGCAAATAGCAGGGTTTTGGTCATGTTCGCAAAATGGCATGAACGCTTATGACAGTGCCTTGTGTGGCTGAACATCAAACATCCTCCAGCAACATGTTGTACAAAGAGGCAAAAGCGCCGCAAATAGCAGGGTTTTGGGCATGTTCGCAAAACGGCATGAACACGTGTGACAGCGCCCGTTTTGCTGAACATCAAACATCCTCCAGCAACATGTTGCACAAAGAGGCAAAAACGCCGTAAATAGCAGGGTTTGGGGATGGTTAGAGTCAAATGGTCGTAACCAATCCCCCCCCCCTCCCCCCCCCCTCCCCGCCCCTCAACAGAAGAACACTCTCTCCAGACCGGAAATTTCAAGAAAACCACACGGGCAAATAGCAACGTGTCAGGGCTTAGGGCTTAGGCTTAGGGCTTAGGGCTTAGGGCTTAGGGCTTAGGGCTTAGGGCTTAGGGCTTAGGGCTTAGGGCTTAGGGCTTAGGGCTTAGGGCTTAGGGCTTAGGGCTTAGGGCTTAGGGCTTGCTTGGGTCTTGAACTTTAGGTTCAGGGCTTATAGGGTTTGTATATATATATATGTAGGTATGTGTGTGTGTGTGTATGATTGCTCATTTTGTTTAAATTCGGGGGAAGGGGGGAACTTAAAGTAGTCCTGCCACTTAATCCCCCCCCCCCCGAATTTAAACAAACTTCCCGCAAAAAGAACCGAAGAGGCCCAGAGAAGGCCAGAAAAAGCCTAGAAGCCCCAGAGGCCTCCTTTTTTGAAAGCAGCCCGCCCCCCCCCCCCCAAACAAGACTGCAGCCCCCCTTTGTAGAACCCTGTGAACCCAAGGTCCCTAAAACCTGTAGGGGCCCTAAACTCGAAACCCCTAAGCCCCCCAAGCCTGCGGCCTAAATATCAACACAAGCCCGTGCGTATGTGTACCTTGAGGGTCGCTTCTGTCGGCTTAGGACCTCCTTGTTGGCAGGGGACGCACTAGCAAGCCATTTTGGGGGAGGTCTCCGGCCCCTGGCACCAAAAAAAGTCGCAAACTGCGCTCGCGTGTTGAAAGGTGTCTGAGCCCAACGTGTGAACTAACCCCTACACGCTGATGTTAAATACCCCCCATTATGGTTCCATTATAGTATATGGGGGGGGGGGGGTATTTAGTATTAGGGGGAGGGGGTGTGTAATACTAGGGGGAAGGGATTATCGTTATAGGTTCAACCTTGTCATTTAGAGAGCCAGGGTACATGTACGCAACCATAACAAAACAATGCACGGTAGCAAGGGGACTAAACACTAAAAGAGACACATAAGAACATATGTGTATAGATGCGTATACATTTGTTGTCCAGTTTTAATTCCCCAACAGCGGGTACGCTTGGGGTTTGCAATCTGGTAAGGGAGAAGGTCGGTGACTAGATTTTGTGCACGGCTTCGCGGAAAGGTAAGGGACGTGTGCGCGCGCCAAACTACTGTAACTTTTTGCGCCTGGGCAATTAAAAAGTAGTCTTCGGGGAGTCCACCGAGCAAGGAAAACAGCGCCAGGCAGTTTGAGCGCACTAACATGCTTGTGCAAGCAGAATGAGATCCATGTGTGCTGCCGAAAAAAGGACATGTGTATGTGCGTTCGCAGCACACAGCACGCGCTAGCATGTCTGTGCAAGCAGAATGAGATCCATGTGGGCTGGCCCGCATATATGTGCGTATGCGCGAAGCAAGTTTTGGTTCCTATAGTTTTGGCCCTTGCTTTTGCAACCGCTTTCTTGCCGTAAAGATATGCCTACCCAACAGCTGCTGTCTGTGTGGTCGTATACCACGCAGCTATTTAGCGCAAGAACAGATCCATGCGAACGGCGAGACACCCATGTGTGCCCGCGCAGCTGCATTCGTGCACGATCTTTTCAAGAACCTTTCCGTGTGTCGCGCAAGACGCAGCACGCGGCACGTAGAGCGCAACAGCGAAGCAGCAGTATGTTGATATGAATATATTGTAAACACACAAGATGCTTGTGCGAACAGAATGAGATCCATGTGTGCTCGCATCAAACGCAGCAGTTGAGTCACTGAGACGGACAGCCGAGATTGTCTCGCCGGCGGAATCTTTTGCGTGCCAAAAGATATGTGTGTGTGTGTGTGTGTGTGTGCTCGCGTAGCAAGCTTTGGTTCCTATAGTTCCCCAACAGCGGGTACGCTTGGGGTTCGCAATCTGGTAAGGGAGAAGGTCGGTGACTAGATTTTGTGCACGGCTTGGTGGAAAGTTGGGGGACGCGTGCGCGCGCCAAACTAGTCTTCGGGAGCACACGATATTTATGTGAACAGAATGAGATCCATGTGTGCTCGCTTCAAACGCGGCAGTTGAGTCACAAGACCGCGACGGACAGCCGAGGTTGTCACGCCGGCGGAATCAAAAGATGTGTTTGTGTGCGCGCGTAGCAAGTTTTGGTTCCGATAGTTCCCCAACAGCGAGCACGCTTGGGGTTTGTAATCTGGTGAGCCCAAGCCTTGCTCCCTCAGATTTTTGAAGATCTTTGGGGCAGCTAAACTCTGCGCACCTCTGTGCTAAGCTCTGCACCTGAGGTAACGCACATTGTATTTCAGTAATCACCCCCCCCTCCCCCACTAAGCAAAACCAAACTCTGTACCAGGGTTTATACTTGTCTGGCCCCACAATACTGAAATATCGGAAAAACTCAATATTTCAATATTGGGCTGGATCCAAGATCCATGAAACAATATTCCGCAGAAAGTGTTTCAAGGTGATGCAAAAAAGCCCCTGCTCTGGTCGAGTGAGAGTTTAGGGAGGTGGCATACAAATATTCAGGCCCTCTGGAAAGAAGAGAGGACGAGGGAAAAGAAGAACCGATTACGAAAAACATAATGTTCTAGTGTAGGTTTTAGGGTTGATGGTCTAAAACCTACATATATAGATATATATGAATTTTAAAAATAAATATAAATATACTTTGGCGCTTAAGGCTGATATAAGCGTCTATTGAATGAAGGGTCAGGGCATAGCAAGACAACGGTTGCGAAAGCAAAGGCTAAGAGCAACAGTAATGTAGGAACCAAAACTTGCTGCGCGTGCACATACAGATATTTTATTATACGCAAAGATTCCGCCGGCGAGACAACCTCGGCTGTCCATCGTGGTCTTGTGACTCAACTGCTGCTTTTCTGCGCGTGCACGTGGATCTCATTCTGTTCGCACAACCATCGTGTATATATTCATATCAAAATGCTGCTACCCCCCCCCCCCCTCAATGCCCCTCAAAGATCCACCGTTAGACGGCACATTTCCCGTAGCATGCTATATCGTTTCTCCTTACGAGGCGTGCAACCACCTGAAACATTCCGAAAAACAACATATAGTTTATCAGTAAAGTATCTAAACAAAGCCTTCTGGCTTACGTACCCCTTCAATTCAACGAAAAACCGCCCTAAACTTTCGCCATGGAAGAAAAACAGCACAGTTCCCGTAGCACGCTAGAAATAACTTCTGTCATTTCTTCTTACGCGGCGTACAACCACCTGAAGCGCCCTGAAAAAATGTTACCGTAAAGTATCCCAACAAAAACTTCTGGCGTACCCCTCGAACTCGAAACCCCCCCTACAATTCTGGCTTACTCCTTAGTTTTTTCGCATCACCCTATTTGCTCGAATACTGCCGTAGTCTTATGTTTCGAGGCTTACCATCCTTCCTTCTCCACGATTAGTATTTGACACAATACATGTACCC